ACCGCCGCGGCGGTGAAAAGGATGAATGTCATGGTATTTCTTCCTTAAACCAAAAAAAACTGCCAACCATCATCTACCAAGTAAGTTGATAATGTAAACATAACACAATTAGATTTTAAATCTGCCGTGATTAAAACTGCCACAGCTTGGTATATACCTCACTTAATAATGGTCTTCCTTAACTCAAAAACAATTCTGATGTGTTCTGGGATTCTGATAGAAATAGAACGCCTGTTCAACTGAGGGATATTTGGAAATTTTGAGCATATTCCTGAGATGAGTAAATATCTATCTTTCTTGTCTACCATCCTATTGGAAAGCAACAATTTTCTGTGTCATGCTTCATGTCAATGTTTGCTATTTTGATATTATATTCTTAATCCTTTCCCAATCATCACGGTTAACACTTGATATTTTTATTTCGGATCTTTGATTAGATCTTCAATCTTATCGAGCCCTTAATAGCTGAAACATATGGCAAAAAAAAGATGAAAATCACATGCATTGATTATAGCGAGTAAAAATGTTTTGTCACAGGAGATATTAATAATAATGACAATATGAAAGGAAAATAAGTTGTGGATAAAAAGTTAGATCAGAATTTTATTACGATTCACTTTACCAGGTAGGCATCCAAAAATTATGTGAATATGCCCTTTTTTTCCGGTATGTCAGAAAATTGTGTATTAATATTCAAAAAGCGGGCGCATCTATCCGCTCTTTGATTACAGCACATGTCCTGTCGCTAAGTACACTCAGCTTCTCATTCAGTTCGTCAAAAGAAATGTCAACTTTCCATAACTTTGGTTTACTAATGGCAAGATGATCAAACGCAGACTTCTTTTTCTTTTTTGATGGCTTTCCCAAGTTTTACCAACAGTGATACATTATTTCTGGAACTAGATAGGATTATTCCCGATTTTGGAAATACCAAATATAGTATTGATCAACGGTCGTGGTAAAAACTCCAAAAGAAAAATTATTGGTTAAATTTTATGCAGATCATTCGTTTAAAAAAAACTTGGCGATAGTGATGGGCGTAAATATAAAAATTATTTGAAAAATGACCGAGTCATCAAGTACTTAATAACTCTATTGGTGACTTATTAAGTGTTAAAAACACAAAATTTTTGAGTCTATGTTTAATCAAATATTAATTTGATAAACAAGTTAAAATTCCCATCACTACTTTACAAGAGTTTTAATTAAAGGACCATATAACTTCCAAATTTATACAAAATGTATTTTTAACTGTTCTACGAGCATACACAGGATTAAACAATTTTATGGTTGCCATTTCTTAATTAATATATATAAAAAAATCACCAATTAAAATTTTTTCCAAATATAATAACCAATGTAAAAATTCCATATTATAAATAATTTTTTTTTAAATCTAATTTCTTTCATAATCTATCACAAAGGCCCTTCAATAAATCAAAACATAACAAATAATATTATGTATGGATATTTATAGTATGATTAAATATAGACAATAAAATATAAATATATTAACAATCAATAAAGATATTTCAGGAAAATTCTTAGTCTGTTCGTTTTAAAATACAACATTTACTGATGCATACAACAGTATACATGGATGGTAATTGTTTTGCTACGTAATACGTAATTCCGAAATTAACTCTGAAATTAATTACGAGCATTGTGAAATTAATTATGGGTGATGTAAAATCCATAAATTTTAATTAATTAATTATACATCGGATGGTAAGCCCAAGTCTCGAAAGATAATACCCCCCGAAAGACAGCACCCCTACTTTAAATGAAATATTTGTTACACAATTACGCGTGGCGAAATAATTTCACACATAATAATTATCGAAAATACAGTTGATGATAATCCGGGTAGCATTGAATTAGCAATAGATGATGCAGCAACAATGGAAATTTTATTAGAACATGCAAGAAAAAAATTTTTTTGGGTTGTAGATTTTGTTTTTATTAAATAAATTTGTTTGATTTTTTCATACATCGTTCATGTTTTGTCTTAATCGTATATCTTAAATATTGGTTGTGTTTACAATCATTTCGTCGACATTCATTATATTAAGGTTATCGAGAGATATGGTCAAGAGAGTTATTCTTCAACCAAGTTGAAAACCAATCCTTTAAATACATTTTCGAGCAGTACAATTTAATTTATTAGACTATTTCAAAGGTTTGTCGTATGGTTGCTTCTAACTTATTAAATTCGAACCATTTGTTAACGAAACAACTCTTGGTGAAGTTATTGTTGACAAAATGAATCAAACCAATATTTATTTTTACGTTATCAAATTCACAATTTTGATTGGTCAATCAACAATTGCATTTTGTTACCTGTTATTATTCCTTCGCTCAAATAAATAGTTGTTTTTATGTGTCAATATTTAATAAACATTCTGGTCTTGGGCAATTCTTGTTTTAATTTTATATTTTATTTATAAGCATTATGTAAAAAATAAAATATATATACTACGTGTTATATAATAAATAAATAACACAATGCTATGCATTCTTCATTGATTTACATTTTGTTTTATGTAATAATGCATTGGTCCATATTAGTGTTTGTTTGATGTTGTCTTGCAGAACAACGTGATTTTATGTTGATCAGCACATGACATTGAATAATGTGCTGAATCACGTGCGCTTAACTTCCTGATGATAGCAAAAAATCAGAAAACACGAAAATTTTGCATGCATATTCTACAGGACCTAGGCTACAAGTTATATATACTCATTATGTGTGTTTTTGCATTATTGATTCTCTGAAATTTGCTGTAGTGTTCCATTTGTTCTAATAAAATCTATTTGAATCTATAAAACAAATAAACAAATGGATAAATTTATTATTTATCAAAAAAGAAATGAAATTTTAAAGTATATAAATATGGACTGAGATTGATGTATCAAAAAATTTTTTGCAATATTAAAAATCATTAAACTTTATACATTTAAAATAAATATTTAGAATAAATTCTTTAAAAACAACGCTGTTTAAATTGACTACTGCTTGTGTGATCAATTCAATCATTAATACCAAAGGAACAAAATCAATTATTTCGCAATAAAAGCTATTTGTTTGTTTGTTTATTGTTGTTTTTTGATTTTAGTATTAATGCATGGTTTCTATTCATAATACATTTTATTTGTTTTATTCGCTTTATTCGCTTTATTCGCTTTATTCGCTTTATACGCTTTATTCGTTTTATACGCTTTATTCGTTTTATACGCTTTATTCGTTTTATAAGCTTTATACGCTTTATTCGTTTTATTCGTTTTATTCGTTTTATTTGTTTTATTTGCTTATATTCGTTTTATTTCATGCACAAGTATAACAGCTTGACATAGTGGTGCAGTCTTGCAATTTTTTTATTGTATATGTTAAATACAATTAATCATACATCTTTAATAAAACAAAAATGACTTAGCTTATTTAATCCATTTCCTTGTATGTGAATGACTCCATCCATCAAATATTCGTGATGGTCATGATTATTATTCAATACATTTGATATCATCATTGACATAACAAACAATTGCATCGCCCAAGTAATGATAATATCAAGGCCATGCAAATGAAACTTTAATAATGCCTGTCTACCCAGATCTCTGGGGTTCACAATAATAAATACTTTTCCTGATTATCAATTATGGTTGCTTATGAATAATAAATCTGATGTTGGTCACAGATGTCATATTTGATTAAAATTTCGTATCACAAATGCGCAATTGCAAGTCTTTCATATCCATGGAATTTTCTTTTCTATGGATGAAAAAATTGTCAACACATTAGAAGGCTTTGGACAAAACATTCCCTATCTTCCTCTCAGGCCAGGCTGGCCGTCACCATATGGGCATTGATTGCTGATGATAATTGACATTCATGTGATGATTGCTTTGTGTTATGCCTCTCTAGAATAAAGTCAGTGTCTGAAACTGGCTCAAATTCTCCAACTGAGGATGCTGCAACCTGGGTCGTTGTTTTGGATTTCCCTGAATTCTGAGTTTTGAGTCCTGGGTTGCTGTCTTGTTGGTGGCATGTCTACTCGCCAACAACCCTACTCCAATTTAAATAACAAGCTCAGATGGTCAAATAAAAATTTCAAGAAAAAAGATTAATTTATATGGAACATACCAAACAAAATCTGAACCATTTTATTTGGCAGCTTTCTCCTTGATTCCAGTGATCATCCTTACCCTAGAGTAATATCATTGCAGGAAACTTTTCAGCTAGCATGCCAGAGCCTTCTCTGGTCTGGTGCTGTGAGGAAAGATTAGTGAAAGTGTCATTGACAATTGGTGCAGTCCCAGGGCCACGTTACTCCCCCCTGGAATTCAGTTGCATGTATCTTCGGGGGCATCTTGGTCAGATTAGCCTTATGTACACGAGGAAGGTGTGTGAATGACTGTAAAGTGTTCAAGGTAGCATGAGTGCTTCAACACCCGATAATCAATCATCACATTGAATTGTTTCTTCTGAAACAGTCAGTCATGCCGCCTCGATATCTTGTAATTATATATTGATAATGATATTATTATTACGATTACGCAAAGTAAAATACCAATCATTTATTATCATCTTGATAAGAATCTTATAATTACCCAACAAGATCTGCTCCGCGTTTTGATTCCAATTAAAATATTTATAAACTAAAATAAAAATATCAATACAAATAAAAAAAATTACCTCTGGTTAGTTATTAACACGTTTTCTTTAGGAGACCCAAACCAAACCAAACAACAACGCTCACGTTTTGTCACTTTGGACTTTGTCAAAAAATAAATTGTTCCAAAAAAAAAAAATTCACGTCTGTCCTCCCACCAATAGGATAAATAATTAATGTTTACACGTCGATCAAATCACGAACTTTTTTTTTTGCAAAAATGTCTATTGATTCTAAAACCAAAAGAACAAGAAAACAATCAAAAGAAACAGCCGAGATCGCTGGGTAAGTGTTTTAAGAATGGTGGTGGTTATTGCCACTCGTCGTTACTCTAGTTGTTTATTTATTTTTGTTTTATTTATTTGTTTATTTATTTATTTATTTATTTATTATTATTATAGTGTGAGTTTTGACGAGCATGGTGATGAATCTTATAAATATCCCATCAGAAAAAAACAATTGGCACCTTTCTCAAACGTTCCCCTTGAAATATTCATCCAGATTTGTGAATATTTACCACCATCCAATTTGTTGGCACTGGTGGAAACGTGTTCAAGATTCTATTTTATCTTAATGGATAAATGTGATGGAACCCAACGAATTTGGAAAATAGCAAGAACAACTTATCTTGAAGGACTGCAACGACCGCCCCGCCAAACTGGACTGAATTAGAATATATTAGATTCTTTATTGCTTTACCTCAACCTTGCATGTTTTGTGGTATTATTGAATCAACTGAAGTACATTGGCAGTTTCGTGTAAGATGCTGTGCTAAATGTTACTATGCAAGAACCACTATAAGAGAGTAAGTAATTATATAAAGTTTAATTGATTAAATAATCATATTTATTCATTTATTTATTTAACAATTTCAGAGAAAAGATTATTAGAGGTAATGATTTCTATACAGGATTATCTTATACACTTATGAAAGGTGGAATGGAGGTACAGTTTTGGCGAAAAGATATTATTGAGAAACATTCTTATGTTGTAAAATATGGATTAAAACCTGTTGAAACTTATGATGACGAAGATAAAAAAATGCTTGAGGTTCAAAAAAATTTCATGGAAGAATGTGAGGATCGCAATAAAGAATGCAGTTTTTATATGAAAAAATCAAAAATATTTATTGAGGAAATCAACAATCTTGTTGATGGAGTTATTGAGGAAGGGGAATTAACATTAAACTATGAATCTCATTATATTTCACTTCATACAAAAGAGCAATTTTCCGTTTTGCTGAGGTTAAGAAACAACTTTCAGAATGGTACTGGGGATCATAGGCAGAAGTTTGTCTGATTGGCTAATTTTGCCGATCAATTTCAATTGAGTTCGCATATTATTTATATAGTTT